CCCCGGCGCCTCTGCCCCAGGCGCCCCCGATTCAGCCGCTGCTGGTCAGTTTCAGCAGCGGCTGAATCAGGGACGCCTGGGGCAGAGCTGGACTATTGGAAGGGGGGGCTATGAGAGATCTGGGGTGGCATCTCCCCTCACCCCACCCCAGGTCCCTCATAACCACCCCTTTCTGATAGTCCGGCATATCTGATAATCCGGCACTCCCTGGGTCCTAAAAGTGCTGGATTATCGGAAGTTTACTGTATTAAGTTTTTGTTACAAAATACCAGAAAGATATTTTTGATAAGGAAGTTGGCAAACAAACAATCATATTCAATAATATGATTGTGACTAACACCTAATAACAGTGATTGTGATATCAGTTCTCAAAACAAAACATTTTTAAAAGACATTTCTGTATTTGGTTCAGTCTGCTACAGTTCTTGCCTGCTATGCCATGCAATCATCAAAATGGGATGCCTCGATCCTGATTTATCTATCTGCTTTTTAAAACAACAGGAGTCTGAAGACTTTGTTTCTAAGGAAAGCATGAGCAGCCAGATACTTATGGTCTGTCTGTTCTGCCTTACCTTTTACAGGCCATTTCTAAAGGTTAGGTTGTCACAGCTACCTTAGCCACACAGGGGAATTAAAGGCCCCACATTCATATTGCTCCAATACTAAACCAAGACTCCATTGTGGTGAGGAGAGCCAGGCCTACTTGTCCAATGTGCCTTGCTGCAAGCAAGTGGATGGAAGCAATAGGAAGAGCCCTTGTTGGCTCTTCCCTTTTCCCTCTAAACTACTTGCTTGCTGCACAGTGGGGACTGAGATACTCCATGAGAAAAGGGAAAGTAACTTGTTTGCTTTACCAAGCAAGGGAGAAGCGGGGGGAGAGGGGGGAGAGGGGGGGCAGGGAAATGTGACTCACCAAGGGCAGGTATACACTGCAATAAGAGATGTGACTGCAGCACCAAGCTAGTTTTGATCTAGCTAGCTCCTACAACAGCAGCAGTGACATTATGAGATCATGGGAGAAGCATGGGCTGAACAACTCCACTCAGTACCCCAGGTAAAAGCCCAATCTGCCTTTCATGTTATTGTGGCTTTACTACTGTTATCCCAGTTACTCAAGTCCAAGCTATTTCAAGTGTAACTAAATGTGCTGCACTCACCTCTCTGATTGCAGTGCAGTCAGACCCTTCATCACAATTCTCTGGGCTGCTCATGAGGCAATTCAGCTCTGCACTGTCCCTCACTCAGGACAGTCTCTACAGTCACAAGGTAGCCATAAGTTAATAAACTAAAACTCTCTAGTCTTCCTCCAAAGACTTTTGTTTTTTCTATTTCTTAAGTGCACCTGTTCCAATTTCCCATGGCAAGCATATCCACAATATAACACGAAATTAACACAACATGAGTTAATAAAATAACGGAGTTACCTTTAACAATAACCTTAGTCATTCTTCAGGCTGAGTCCTTTACATGGTGCCTGGCTGATTAACCTCAGGGTCTTTCAGGTTAGTGGGACAGCTGAGCCATATAAAGTGAACAAACCTATGCTTCTCTAAAGCAAACAAAGCTTTATTTGATTCACATTCATATTTGTGAACCACACAATGTTTCTGTAAACCTATATTAAACATTCCTTTGTTTATGTTCCTCATTGCTTGTGTATGAATGGTCTTTTAAATCAGTTGGATGCATACATAACTGCACCATGATTTACTTACCTATGTCTTGTATCTCTGTTCCTAATATGGCAAATTAATCCAGGAGCCACAAGAAAAGTAAAACAACAATTGTCAGTATCAGTGAACAAACCAAACCAACATAAACCAACCCAATATAATAATAACTTTGACATAGACAAAAGCTTCAGAGGGGTAGCTGTGTTAGCTTTTAACTGGAAAAACTTAAAACACAACAAATAGTCTTGCAGCACCTTAGAGACTAACAAAACAAGATAACAAAACATGTAGCTGTACGTAGCTTTCATGGGCACAACCCACTTCTTTATACATATGAAAACACAGTTAACTTTGTATGTCCCCCAATGTAAATTATAGACACTAAAGACATAAACAGTTAAATCATTCAGCATCCCATCTCTACTCCACTTGTTTTTCCCACTCACATTCAGTTGCTTCCTTTCTACAGTAAACATCTCTAACTTCACATTGAGCAATTAACTTACAATCATACTTTAACTATGTTAACTGGTTACATGACCACGTTTTGATGAGTAAAATAGGTTTAGTGTGGCCTCTGTACTTTACATGGTACCTAGTTCTGTGTGTGGTTCAGTACTAATGTTAGTAAGGGTTTGATCCTGAACAGTGCTGAGTGCTCCTTCTGACCTCAACACAAGTTGAGAGCACCCAGCATCTTGTAGATTCAAGCTCTAAGTGACACAAGATGCAGAGCACCAATGGTGAGTGAGACATATGCTTTAGGGTACTGTTTAGGGGCCAGAACTATTTAATAGCTACCAACAGAGTAAAACTGGATAAAGTGTCAATTATAAGGGATTAGCAGTGTCAGGGTAGCTTTTTGGTGATGTAGCAACACATGGTTTGACACTGCCTGTCTGGAGTTCAACCCAGCTCTACTTTGCTGTGCTTTCTAAAAGAGACAGTGAGCAAAGTAACTATATTTGAGTACTTCTGAACTTGATCTGTCCATCTACTGTACAGGCAGGTAAAGTGTCTATTGTTATCTCTGAACTAACATACATACCTACTCCTCAATTTAAATACTCCAACAGGAGTAATACTAGTTTTAAACAAAAATACTTTAAAATTTTATTCTATTTTGAAAAACTAACTACGACAAATATGGGGAGAAGACTCAGATAATTCAATGTTGCAGCTTGATTAATTATGCGATACCTGTACCAGTGGCCAACAAACAGAGGCAGCCCTCCCTACTGCATCCTGTTTAAGTGGCCACTTTAAGGTAATCTCAAAGGGGTAAATTTTATGCTTCATGAGAAAGTCATGTTTCTTACAGGCAGTGAAATTTGGTTAATCTCTTAGGTCCTTTAAATACATTTTACTGTATTTCTCGTGTATCATGTTCACATTAATAGATCTGACCACCAATCAGTAAACTCCAAGATTTCCTACCTTAATTCTAAAATGCTAATGGAATTTCCTGAGGGAAAAATGCGTCTGACAAAATTGAAGTCTCCAATGTACACACTGCCATCTGGACCAGAAGCCAAGGCAACCGGGGCAAAGAGTTTGCTGCTGAGGGCAAGTCCATTGCAATTGGAACAGGAGACACTTCTCTGGTGTCCATTGCCCATGATGGTTGAGATGACTGGGGGTTGCTGGGAAATGAACATGTTTTCTCCATTTCCTTTGTGTACGATCCCTGAACATGAGAGAAGAAAAAAGGATGGTGACAAAGAAAGTGTTGTTCCCTCTTACAAACTACTTGTGCTCAATTCTGCTATGCTTTCAGCATGCAGAAAACATATGTAAGGGCTTCCATTTTTGTTTTTACTCATTCCACCTTCTGTTCCATATGAAAGGACCATTACCTGTAAAAGCTTATTAAAATCAATGTTAAGATTCTCCGAAAATATGTCTGTGCCAATGCACAATCTGGACATGCCAAAATTTTCATGTGTGGGTGCCCAAAGTTGTGTGTCTAAATGTATGCTGTCATCTCAATGAATAGCCTGGTTTTCAGAGATGGCACCATTGATTTCAATTGCAGCTGTAGGTGTTCACTCTTTCTGAAGATCCGGCCACTTTTATTCACATAACTAACTTATTTTACTCTACTTATTTCTATTTAAATTACCAAAAGATGCCTATCCAAGGTGCTAGGTAATCTAAAAGACTGCTGAAGTACAATAAAATCTAAGCAGAATTAAAATGATAGTACACCCTTAACCTTCTCCAGAAAGCCACTCAAAGAGATGTCTTACGTATCGTAACTGGGAAATCAGTAAAATTCAAACTATTTTGGGCCAAAGTGGAGAGAGAGCAAGTTCCAGAGTCTGGAACTCCTGTAGAGAGCATCCTGTTAGCTGCCCCACTCTCCTTTTATATAAAAGGAGGGGAATTCAGCTCAAGCACCCTTGCTGATTGCATCTGTGGCAGAATGGCATGGGGAGAGAGGTGATCCCTCACACAGGCTGGCTCCAGACCTTTACTCTTCACAGGTCATAAACAATACCTTAAATATCACCTGGAGACCAATGGGCAAATCCTAGAACACTGGAGTTACATGCTTCCGGAAGTGCTAGGTGTCAAATTTTGGTATAAGTTCTTATGAACCTTTGACCCACCAAAACTGAAATAAAATGATCTGGCTGGAAAAAAAGGCAGCAGTTAAAATTTTCTGCATTTCATCTTTGAATTTGACAATACAGGAGAAAAGCACTTAACACTTTCAGTAAAGTAGGATCAGATCTCTTAAATAGTATATTAAAAGGTTCTAAGAACCTTCCCCAATTCTGAACATCTTCCTCTCTAAGCTATTTTAAAAACTGGGCTCATGATGAGAGGTCAGACTTGGTTAGCGCTCTCATAGATCAACTATTAATTGAAGTACTATCTGATTTCTTAGGGATTATGACTTAAACATTCATTTTATTCATACATTTCTCTCAGGTAGCAGATGAAGTTCTTAAAGACTTTGAATATTTAATGAAGGGAAATTAATAGCAGGACTGTTCTGTATTTTTCAGACAGTGCATTAAACTGCAGTAGATAATCAACATTCAAATTTAAATAAGATCTGCTTGATAATAATGTATAAAAATGTTGGTGACTGCAGCACAACTGTGTTAAAAGTGGAAGAATAATTCCAGTGAGTGAACTTCTTACCAATGAGAATATAATATTGCCTGCCATAAAGAGGAAAATAGCTTTCTAACATGTCAGTATTTCAACACTGCACTACAGGATATATCATTCAAAAATCGTTTCGATTATTAGGCTGGTAATACCAGATCCAGTGCTAACATCATTTTCTCAGGTAGACATCATTTTTATAACAATAAAGCAATACAGTTAACAATTACTTTCAAAATGACATGTTATTACTAGGCTTATGGCAATTTTCAAACTGAAGATAGGTATTCTTTTAATATAGCAATTCCAAAATTCCCTGTCTCTATTAGAAAACCCAGAACTCCACCAAAGAGTAGGAGTGATTAAACGAAATAAAAGACAAGTGAATGTAGTTTCTGATTACTTTGGCACATTTGATGGTTTGCCTTCCTATTTGGCACTGCCATATCAGTGTACTGACATTAGCATTCCTGGGTAAAGGTGAAAAAAAGCACATAAACACTTTGTATTGTATTATTTTCAGCTTTTGAAAATACAGATCATGTTGAAAACTTCTTTACGTCTTGTTCCAAGAACAGATTTCTCTACTGCCTATGCATGACACTATACCATTCAATCTTACTTCACCTATTAAAACCACTTCCTCATCAAGTGTTAGTTCAAGAATGCATTATTCTTCTTTCAGATCTCTTCCACCTCACCTCTAGGCCACCATACCAAATCTACTTGCTATGTAAAATGAACCAAGAATCACATCAGTGGGCCTGATCCTGAACTGAAGAATACCGGTTGAACACGAGTATAACTCCATTTACTTTATAGAGTTACTCTTTATTTATACTAGTGCAAATTAGATCAGAATCAAACCCAATGAGTATTATGCATGCATTAAGCCAAAAGAGTGCTAAGCATTAAGGAATTTAGGATATGTCTCCTCTGCTATCAGAGGTATGACATATCTAAACTGGTTTAAACCTAACTAGCACAAGTACCAATATCAGTTATGCCATGGTCATCTGAAGTCCATGCTGCCATGGCTTCACTCCTATTGGTGCTCATGTTGGTTGTGTTAGAGCTAGCGTGATTATTCTATACGTGCTGCAAGCAGACTTCCAACTGTAGAGTTACCATATTTGAACTTTCAAAAAAGAGGACATCCCTGAGAAGGAGTGTATGTGTATCAGTATCTACCAACTCATGTTGTATTAACACAATGTGTATAACACATTAATATGTGAGTTGATAGATACTGATACACATACACTCCCTCTTAGGGGGTGTCCTCTTTTTTGAAAATTCAAATATGGTAACCCTATCCAACTGAAGCATAGAAATACCTTTAGACATAAACAGGGGAAACTTCCTTGTGCTGGATGGTGGATAAGGATTACATTAGGCTATTCTAGATGATCCTTAAAGTACAACAGCGGTCTAGATCTAGTGCTCACACTTCCCCTTGTTTAGACATTTTTTTTTGTGACTTACAAATAAGTTTCAAATTAAAATACCCCTTAAAAGCCAATGGGTGGTGCTTTATGTTGATTTCAAAGTGGAATCCATTTTTCAAACTTATTTGTGAACAAGGGTCAGAATATGTATTTCGTTTTGGTATTTAGGATTGGTATATAAAAAGAACTTGGACATATGCGAGCATAATCAATGGAAATTTACTCCCAGTAAAAAGCACTGAGCTCACAGGAAATGCTGGCATTTGTCTGAGGCTAAAAATGTAAAGACTATCTTTTATCTGTTTCAGACAAATAATATATAATTATGGCTCTGGAGAGTTTGTTTGCTTTTATTCAATTTAAGCATATACGTAGTCTTAGGTACATGAGTAGTCTTTTTGGGTTCAGTAAGAGCTTTGCTAGACAAGGGCCAGAGTTACTGTATCTGTAACTTCAAAGTATGAAATCCCTTTAAAAGGGACAAAAATTCATTCAACACACTTTCCCATCACGAAAAATCCACTTCAAAAGATTCACTGAAAATATTGGTTATTGGGGTATTCATTTGCATTTGTGAGTTCTCTATGTATTTCAAAAGGACTTTATGCCTTAGGGAGGTAGCTCGTACATGTGTGTTTGTTAACTGATTATGACAAATAGTCTGAAAAGTCTTCATGTTGGGGAAAAATTGCAACAAACTCTGACGAAAAAGAATAGAAAGATTGAATCTTATTTTTCTAAACCAGAAAAACAAAATAAGGGGACAATAATCATGGTCTTAGGGAGCAAAATATATTTAATTATCTATGTTAATACAATATGGCTGTCTGCTTATTGGTTCAAAAAAGTATGTGTTTAAAAAGTCAGGGTTTCCAGGACAGAATGGCGGGGGAGGGCATTTCAGAGTGATGGAAAAGCTTTTCATTTCAAGGATGCCACAATTAATCAGGAAATATTTTAGAGAAAGAAAAGATGCCCTTACTTCTCAAAATGATAAGATGCCTTGTGTCTTTACAGCTTGCCTAAAGTAATGTTTGTATTGATCAGATTTAGACTTGGGAACAAATTCATGAAATGTATTTCTGCATAAACCTATCTATTTTCACAGTTTTTTTCTGTTATGCAGTTTAAACTTGTTCTTGGAAATATCTGTATGGAGAACATCACTAACATGTGTGTGTATGTGTGGGGAGGGATTCACTGCATCATAGGATATGCTTCACTGCAGTGTTAGCTTGAGGTTCACCTTGAGTTTTGTCCGTTGCCCAACTTCTGTCCACATATATAATTATCTAAATTATATTAAGTGGCACTTTAAATTCAGATTAGCTAGTCCTTCAGGTGTGGGGTTGGAAATGGTTTGAAGCTTCACTGCTGCTGATGCTAGAGCTGGTAAAGCAGTGGGGATGTAGCAACTTGAGTTGAAGCATCTGAAATTGCCAGTCCAGTCATTGTGTGCAGCTATATGTTCGCTTTGGCTGGGTATACTCTGCAATAAAAGAACCACACCTGGCCTTGGTCATCTGCCACAAGCTCATTGGGCTTACTGTGCAGGGCTAGAAAGCAGCAGTGTAGCCTTTCTGGTTTGGCCTGGTGCCTGGGCTCTGGGGCCATGATAGAGGAAGGTCTTCAGAGCCTGAGCTTCATCCCAAGCCTGAGCAGTCTCATGAGCTCAAATCAGTTGAACTGGGCTCTGCTGTGGATGGTTTATCTAAGTACAGACAAATCCTTTCACTCAACAAGGCCCTTGCACTAGGCTAGCTCAAGTGGGTTAACTCAAATATACTAACTCGAGCTGACTGTGGCAGTTCTAAAGACCATGTCAGAGGGCTTTACTGGCAGACAGTCTGCAGGGGAAGAAAGCTGTGGTGGCAGATATTGAATGGAAATTCCTTTCCATCAGTGGGCTAAGACAGGGCCAGAACAGCCCAAAAAGCATGTGTGGCACAGGCTGAAAAGAAAGTATGTCTAGAATGGCTAGTAGATGCACTCACTCATCAGATTGCCTCAGCAACCTTCATTCAGCAACAAAAACATTATTGCTAATGGGTTCAGGCCATATTAGATTCATGTTATTTTTCTGTCACTGATAAGCAAATAAAGGTTTTTTTCCCCTAGTTATTTCTGCCACTTGCAATCAAAGTGAAGAATCAACTACTCAGACATCTAATATGCATACAATATTATTCAGTCAAGAGCAGCCTCAATCAGCTGAAATATGTGTATATAACTGATCAAATCAAGTGTTTTTAACATTAAGGTGAAATGAAAGTTACTTAAGGACTATTTGCAGTAAAGTTCCACAATTTTTACATTTGAATTGTGTTTCCAGGGCTATTCCTAGAGTTTGGATTAACTGGATTGTGACAGCATTTCAAAAAGAGAAAGTAAATTCAGTCCCTATTAAGGGTTCACACTTACATCCCCACAGAGTTAATGCTTTAATTAAATACAAAAAGATCTCTAGAAATTAATTCCTGAGAAGGATACTCCACACTTATACCTTTTAAGGCTAGCGCTATCAGGCAGATGAGGTTAGAACAGGCTGCATCTTTTTAAAGGACACAGAAGGCTTTCTGGGTCTATTCAGTCCAGTATTTCCAGAAACTATGGACAGTATTTCTGGGAGTGACCAATGGACAGGTCATCCCTATGTACCTTGTGCTCTGGTCAGTGGCTAAAAGACACAGTATAACCCCAAAGATTTACTGCTCATAATTGTGTATTTTACAAAGTCTCAAATATTTTAGTGTCTGTGTGGTGAATTAGGAGAGACTTTACAGTAAGCTAAGGTCAGACATTCATATAAACTAAAGCTATAAAAGAAAGCATTCCCAATAACTCAGTTTTATAACAAAACTAAGTGGAAAACTGGCCCTAAGATTAGACTATGGGGCTCACAGTTGGGGTCTGGACTGATTTCTCTTTGTGTTAAATGTCACCAGCTGGCATTTAAAAAAGTCAATCTATACAAACCAATAAGGTGGGTATGAAAGAACCACTGCTTAAAATGTCAAACTATTTAAAATCAAAATCATGATAATTTATAAACTAAACCTGACCTTTTGTATTTGGAATATTTACACGACAGCTGTACATCTGACAGTATAACTTAAAACCTGACAGCTTTACATGTGTGTGTGGATCTGGGTTACAGTTGTTTGAAGATGGAAACAGATTTTAGTGGCTAGATTCTTAGCTGGAAAATTGGCAGAGTTCTACTGAAGCTAGCACTAAGCTGATTTGCACGAGCTGAGAATATGATCCTAGATTTTTTTTCTCCCAAGGACTGTAACATGTCCATTTATTTGCAAATTCATATTCATTCTCAATACTGTAACATACTATGACTGTTCAATTGCTAATTTAAATGCACTAAGAGTAGTTCCTAATTATAACTGTTTGGGGGGAAATAAAATAATAGGTAATGAGAAAACAGATTAAAAGTCTCAGAGTCTGAGTAATTCATTACATAGGGAAGAAGTTAGGAGAGCAAAATAAATGAGTAGATTCTTTGTGTGAGTGCGTGAGTGTACACATGTGCTTCTGAAAGGTTCTACAGTGCTGCTTGGAAGAGTAAAGTTTTTTATTTATCTACTGCTCGGATACAAAGTGGGCATCAATGCAAGACTCCACTGTCTAGAGGAGTCTAGTCAATGGAAAAACCACCTCCAGAAGATCAGTGTTTAGGTCAATTTCTATGCATATTTGTCCTTAGTCCCACTGGTGAGACTGCCAATAATTATGCTAATTTAAGAAGCTGTAGCAGTGAGTTTGACACAGACACTTGTCCACTGAGAAGATGACACACCATCAATTCTCTTCACACAGACCAGCAAACCATAGCAAAATTCAATCCCTTACTATCTTAGTTTGAATTCAATCTAACAATCTAGAGGTATAAAGTCTAGATCCTACATTAGTATTATCATGATACAGCTTAATGAAAAAAATATACATTAAAAAGATTTTTATTCCTGATAGCTAAGACACGCACATAATTTTTTTCAGTTGGTGGGTAAGTGTACAGTTCCCAGTAAAAGAAGTTGCACACTCAAAGGATATAACATTAATAATGAAAAGTTGAACATCTAAATTCTTCATTACCATATTGAAAACGTATTCCTTTCCAACATATCTGATTGAGAACGGAAGGACTTACCACTTTGTGGATTCAATATGTGGTGTTTGTTTATGGACCAACCCCCCAGATTCGACGCATCCATCTCAAAGCCCTGCAGGATAGCTGTCCTTTTCTCCCACAGAATAAAATCATGGCATGTTTCATATTCATATCCTACTGACACTGCAAATAAATGATGATATGTTAGACTGTTTTCCCTTCCATTTATTATCTATTTTTCCATACCAGTTTTTATTTCTACCTGTTAATAATGGGGCTGCTATGCTGGCTCCTGCATTTGATTTTGATAGTTTGAGGATACAAAAAAAAAAGTCTAAGAGTTCCTTTGATAGTTATGGTTACTGCTGTTTCAAAAGTCTATCCTTGTAGTATCAATTATGTATTGGCTTTTGCATGGAATTTGTCTGATTCGTTCAATAGCATCTCCCTTAACTAAATGAACCATTGCTAAATTAAGTGTTTTGTTTTGTTTTGTTAAAAGAGGGGGTTGGAAGTTCAATTCCACTTAGTTGATCTTTTCCCTTTGATACACATAAGAATATCAAAGATATGTCACCTTCCCTGGTCCAGTAAATTCCCTGGTCTGGGACTAGTCAAGTCCCAAGGGTACCGGACCAGGGAGGTTCAACCTGTACTGGCCTTATTCATCAATGGTCAATAACAGAACAAGTGCTATTCTACGTATTACTGTAGAAGGAGGATGAAGGAGAAATGTTTAATATGAAGCAACTTTGCGGATTATCACCTATATTATAGCATCTTTTCTTTAGTCAAACACTTAAGTTCAGCTCAGCTCAAGCACATATACTGTTTGCAACACTAGGAATAGTCAGGAGTTGCAGACCTCTCTGCGGCAGATTCTCAACGGGTATAAAGTGCCATAGTTCTATTGAACTCAGTGGAGTTTAATTGACTTTAATGGAGCTATGGTAGTTTATACCAGCCGAAGATCTGCCCCTAGATGTCCATAATGGAGCACATTTTAGGATCCTGGGTGACAATGGAATATTTGTACTATTCTCTGCCCATATCTAAAATTTCTGAATTGCCAAAGCTACTAGAAGTGGGCCTCATCCTCCCTGATTGGATTCACCTCGTTATCTCTAGCCTGCATATTTATACCTGTCTCTGGAAATTTCTACTACATGTATCTCAGGGTATGTCTACACTACCCTCCTAGTTCGAACTAGGAGGGTAGCGTAGACATACCCTGAATTAGTATCTTCCTATTCATAGAAGATCAACATAAGTAAAGCTTGGAGTTCATTCAAAAAAAAAAAAGGTGTTTTACATTGAGATTGTTTACTCAAGATAGCTGTCATCTCAATGTAAAACTCTAGTGAAGAAGACAAAGCAAAAGGGAGGTTTTACTTTGATTTTGCTAGACAAGGTCAATGTCAGACCCTCTTACCTTGGCTTTACCTCGGCTGGGTACATTAAAGTAAAAAAAACCTGTCCCTTGCCTTACCTAGGATTTTACATTGACGTGGTTATCTCAGTGAAGGCACCCCTCTCCCCCCTGCCACACATCCCTTTTATAGTAATGATATAGTCTAAAAGAAGTCAAAAGGTGCTCAGATATCATGATGATAGGCATTGCATAAGAAACTAGACAGAAAGACTAACACAGCTACCCCCTGATACTTGACACCTATTTTATATACTAAATTTATATATGTAACACTAGGCCACATGCTTTAACTCTGTTTTATTTCCATTTTAAAAGAATCTCTTTTCAGAGACAAGAGTACTATTACATATTTTTACTTTTAACCTTTCCATTTTAAGAAGAAACTCAGTTGTTATAATTTCTGCTGCAAATGTAAGATCAGGAAATTTCCTCAATGTGTAAGACTTGGAGAGTGGGAAAATGACACGAGATATTTATCTGCTGCTCTCCTCAGATGTTTCCATGCATGCGAATACCTTCAGAAAGCCTGTGTTTTTTTGAGACCACATTTTTTGAATAGACTATGACAGCAAATCATTATGTAATTGTTGCCAATAATCCCAAAGAAAAATGAAAGTGTTTATAGGTTTTATAATATTAAAGGCAGATGTTTATATTCCTGTGCTTACAGGACTTCAATTTGCTGTAATTTAATGTAATTAAAATGAAGTGTGAGCCAAATGCATTATTAAATATTGGTAACATATCAACAAGGAATTATTTTGACAAAATTCACATAATGAATGCAAATAAGGGTCCCAGAGTACTCCAATCTGTCAAATTAAATAAGGCTTTATTGGAAGCTTAGAAACCAAGTTAACAGTGTACTTAAATATAAAGAATTTTGCTTCTGTTTTGCAAGAAACATAATTAAATTAACTTTAACTTAAAACCCTAAATAATTAAATAAATAAACAATGGACTGGTTTGTTTCCCTTGATAAATGCTTTAGTATTCATTTTAGGATTTTGCAACTCAATGTGCCATTTTGTGGCATCTCTAACAGTTATATTGTTTAAAGTCTAGATATGTATTGGACAAGGGTGGACTTCAGGATTACTGAATATCAAATAATCCAAAAGGGAATTAGCATATTTAATTGCTCTGTATTGTATCTATTAGTACTAACATATTTACTGCTCTTTTATGTCATTTCCAAGACAGCCAACATTTTATAAACAACAAAATTCCATAATATCATTGTTGTTTACTGTACAGTATGTATAGTTGGAAAAATGAAGAAACCGGGTATTATTCAGAAGAAAAATCTGAATTAATTTAATTCTATTCTTTGTATTACAAGCTGATATAGGAATCTATACTGCATAAGCAGTTAGGGCAAGAGTCTGCCATTCTTATTCACACTGAGTAGCACTTTATGATAGATTTCTACACCAGGTGTATGATGTGAACAATATTCCTCTCAGAAAGAATTTGTCCCCTTTTGAACACACATTTGAAAGAGTGGAGAGTGACACACAATTATTCTTGGTTGATGTCAATAAAGGTAATTATGAAGCAAGATGCTACTCCTTGTTAGTGGCAGAATGTGCCCCCAATTACTGTAATATTTTAGAATCTCGTCATACAAACACTTATTGTGAGTATCTCCACAGACTTCAAAACCTACCGAAATCCCACTGAATTAAAGAGGACTATTCACCAGATGGAACAGAAAATCACTGATACAAGTTGGATCTCTCTTGTCCGGCACCCTCGGGACCTGAGTGGTCGCGAACCAGGGAGTTTGCTGGATTGGGAGAGGTCAAGGCTCCCCTCCCAACCATCAGTCCCGCCACTAGGCTCTGCTCGGACTGCACTCTCAGCCCCTGGCCCTGCTGCCACCAGCCGCAGCGAGGGCTGTGCTCCTAGATGTCGGCTGGGGCTGTGCTCCCAACCGTCAACCCCGCTGCCGCCAGCCGCAGCAGGGGCTGTGCTTCCTGCTGCCGGCCCTGCTGCTGCCTGTCCAGGCCAGCACTGAGCTCCCCATTACTGCCCTGGGCTGTGCTCCTGGCTGCTGGCCCTGCTGCTGCTAGCCAGGGCTGCCCTCTTGACTTTGGAGACCCTCACTCTCAGATGGACTCTCTGGTCCAGCAATATCTGTGGTCCACTGGACCAGACATTCCTGGATTTTAAAGTTTGAACCTGTAGTCAGTGTTTGCAATAGCAGGCTGTTAAACAACATACCACATCTTTGATTAAAAATAATAAAAAACAAGATTCAAAATTAACGAGAAAATATTTTGGGTAAATTAAATGCATTTTATTTCAGTTACTATATTTTTACATTCAGACATTCAGTCATAAATCAGGGACCCACCACCTGGATAACTTTAAAATCTATATCACTGAAAGTAAAAGGTCCCCCAAAGGCATGGATGGTTTCCATGTCAAGAAGTTAACAGCTTCAGACATCAAATATAATAAACCAAGATGCCTAAAAGTTAGAATTTAGTAAACTCTAAATAGAAATGACATTTAAAATGTCACTGCCAAAAAAGGATAGAGGCAATGAGACACCGAAGGTCACTGTTAGAAAGTACATTCTCAGCACAGAGCTAGCCACTAGTATGCAGCCAGTATGAGATGGGAGAAAGGGACTTTTGAACTTAAAAAAAAAAAAAAAAAAAAAAGAACCAAAAATTGGCTTTAAAAAGAGAAACACAAGGAACCAGACAATAAATGTTTCCTAGGCAATTAATTTAGAAGCACTGTATGCTTCCTTCAAATGTATTATTACTACCAAGTACATTGAAGTAACTCAACATACCTGTTGCCTCTGCCAGGCCAGACACCTTTTGTCCATAAATGTCTGTCTTGTTCCAGGCAAAAGCATAGACCAGGTTTGTAGCAGCAGGAAACCACTTCTGAACTAGCCGCCCTTCAATAGCAACTGTAAGATGCACTTTTGTCAGTCCAGGAGGGATGGTTGCATGTGTCAAAATAATGCGGAGCAAGGTTTTATATCCAGGAGTTCGACTGCTGAGATAACTGAGTTTAACAAAGCTAGAAGGAATTGGGATTTCCTCCTGGACCACCTAGAAGAACCCAACGGTTGTACACAGTTAATAATATTCATGCCTAGGAAAAGAGCAATGTTTTATATTTCAAATCATGATGTTTTCTAAAAAAAACCCTATGCACTACTAAAAACTCACTCCCTTGACCTGTGCTCTGCCTCTGCCAAGCATATGAAGGCAGGAATAAGACAAGATTTTCAGCATCATCCAAAGCTATGCAGTGTCTGAAAGATCGCACAGGTGGAAAACAGATAACTTCTCTATACCTTGTTAAGGAGGCCCCTGCTGCTTTTTAATTCTTCTTTGTCTCTAATGTTTGCACATAATAATACTTTTGCCTTAAGTTTTTGGGTAAAATATATGAGATGACAAATGTTTCCTTGAGCACTAGTCTTGTCTAAAACCACTAAACTCAGCTGTCCAAGAGTTGCAGGTTGACTTTGGAAAGGACACCTCATTTGGTCAATTAACTTTTTGGACATAAACATAATTAAATAAATACATATTTTAAACTCACTAGGGTCCATACTCACTACCCTGTATTGGCTGTCCTAACCTACAGGATCCTCCCGAAGGAACCAGGCCTTCCTGAACAACACAATCCTTTCCAGAGCTTTATAGTGTGCAGGGGGACAGCAAAGTCTGAAAGTTGGTAAGGAAATGGCGGGTGTCATAGCTTTGGCCTTTGGAGGGATGTCGGTGCTACGAGGCTATTGGCAAGGATTAGCTCTTGTGCTCACTTGTATGAAGGGGATGCTGTTGTGACAGTCCTTGGTGCAGGGCGTGCAGGGGAATGAAGAAATCTCCTTGAATATTCCTTCAGATTCTCATGCAAAGCCCTCTCACAGTTGGATCCTGTTTAATAAGTTTAAATGCTGCAGGCTGTGATTTTAGCATGTCATTACTAATGAGCCAGTAAGTCACAATGTTAAATCAACAAAATCTGGAAAAACACAAATTGTTTGCTTTGTTTATTTTTCCTGGTTCTTCTGGCTCACTTTTTGCCTCCTTAATAACAAATCATTTCCATTTCAGACACCTTCTATTAATGTATAACTACCGTAACACTGTTACAAAAATACTGCAGTACCATTGGAAGCCTGCCAGTACTTGTCTCTTCAACATATGAAAAGTGCTGTTGGCAGGGAATTCCTGATCCATTTTGCTTTGTTTATTTTTCCTGGTTCTTCTGGCTCACTTTTTGCCTCCTTAATAACAAATCATTTCCATTTCAGACACCTTCTATTAATGTATAACTACCGTAACACTGTTACAAAAATACTGCAGTACCATTGGAAGCCTGCCAGTACTTGTCTCTTCAACATATGAAAAGTGCTGTTGGCAGGGAATTCCTGATCCCTTGATTATTCCCTGTCCTACCTGCTGACATCCCAGCTGCCTCCTCTGTCATGCATCTGACATCAATAGATTTTAAACTTTCCTCCTCCCTCTTACCCAGGAGACAACTAGTAGATATTAGTGTAACATATATTTTAGTATTTCTCTCACTTTTTCTATCCCAAACCAGATTAGGTGCAGTTACTCAGTGAATATACTGTTGTGACCTTAAGAGCATATCCAGAGTAGTGAGTTTCTTGCTGTCTGACCTGTTCAGTGTACCTCAATTCACTTATGCCATAATAATAAGTGTTGTGTAAGTTATCATTGGAAAATCACTAACACACTGATAATTAATACTGTCATATGATATATGTATGTTGAACACCCAAAGATCTACAGAAATTCAAAGGATATATAGGACTAAACTGTATTTCAAGTAGGCAAATCTAGAGAGTGAGTAAATATGTTTTCCAGACAAAAGAAATGTTGATGCCTTCATCCAGATAATGCAATCAACAGACAACTGGCAATCAAAGTCAAGTGGCTATTCATTGGCATATCAGAGGCTGCGGGAATAGATGAATTTGAATTGTAAAAAGCCTCAGAGAGGAAGAAACCAGTACAGAATCTTCCCCATCAGACTCCATAGCATCTTTCCTCACAGCTGGGGCACTGGACTTTGAGAAGGATATATTTCAAAAGTTCAATGGACTACAAAAAAACCCCCAAAAACACAAAAAAAGCAAGAGATTTGGACTTTATAAGAGATCCTGAACAAGGGAGTGGTCAGCCATCTTGCTAAAAGGAGGAATATTAAGAATATTACCTTCGACTAAGATTGTGGTTTTGCTAAGTTTTAGTCACCTTTTCACTTTTATTTGCATGTAACTATTTCTGACTTTATGCCTTACACTTGACCTCACTTTAAATCCTCTCTTTTTGTTAATAAACTTAATCTAAACCATCCTAGTGTTTTGTTTCAATTGAAGTAATTTTTAAATCCAGTTAAAGCAACACACTGCTTTGTTTTTGTCTTGCTAAAGAGCAACGGTCAGTATTGCTTTCCTAAATGTTCCAATACAGGGCTGCACATTTCAAGGAAGATGGTTTTGGGGAAAATTCAGGACTTAGGATATGCTGAGGTGACTTGGCTTGTATTAACTAAGTCTGGTGGAGACCTGAGTGTGGCTGTTATGTAACAAGCAGGGTCCTGGAGTCAGCATTGCTGCTTATCACACAGATACTCAGAGCATGCTTGTATGCTGGCTGGGAATGTCTAGAAAGTAAGTTGTAGCAGAGTAAGGCACACACAATTATAGGAAAAAGTGACAGAATTCAAGTAGAAGGGTTTTCTACATAATAAAGAAATATGAGGCCTTTTTTAGGAAACAATGCAATTTTAATAGACAAAAATTTGGATGGAAAATATTTATACCCACAGATAACCTTCAAAATATCTTTAGCAATGAATAACCTTGCTTAGATGTCATTCCCAGAAGTACAGCCCCGGAAAGATGCAACATCACAGCAACAAGCAATAATTATATGTCAGTGTTCTTTTTTACAGCGGCACTTTAAGGAATCATAGAATACTAGGACTGGAAGGGACCTCAAGAGGTCATCGAGTCCAGTCCCCTGCCCTCATGGCAGGACCAAATACTGTCTAGACCATCCCTAATAGACATTTATCTAACCTACTCTTAAATATCTCCAGAGATGGAGATTCTACAACCTCCCTGGGCAATTTATTCCAGTGTTTGACTACCCTGACAGTTAGTCAAACACTTTCTCCTAATGTACAACCTAAACTTCCCTTGCTGCAGTTTAAGCCCATTGCTTCTTGTTCTATCCTCAGAGGCCAAGATGAACAAGTTTTCTCCCTCTTCCTTGTGATACCCTTTTAGATACCTGAAAACGGCTATCATGTCCCCCCTCAATCTTCTCTTTTCTAAACTAAACAAACCCAATTCTTTCAGCCTTCCTTCATAGGTTATGTTCTCTAGACTTTTAATAATTCTTTTTGCTCTTCTCTGGACCCTCTCCAATTTCTCCACATCTTTCTTGAAATGCGGTGCCCAGAACTGGACACAATACTCCAACTGAGACCTAACTAGCACGGAGTAGAGCGGAAGAACGACTTCTCGTGTCTTGCTCACAACACACCTGTTAATGAGGGAAGACAATCAGGCATCCACTGATGTGCATCAAATACTCACCCTATCCTGTGCCTCTGAATTTCAGGGTCTGAACATCTAACCATGTTTGTAAAATTCCATTCAGTGGGATCTACATTTTCCCAAACTTGGATGAAACTTTCAAAAAATTTAGGTTGAAATCCTGTTTCCTCTGAAATCTATGGCTAAACACATTGACTTCATCCAGGCCAGATTATCACTTGTATGTGTTAAATATTAAGTATTACTACCTCAACTACTTCAATTGTACCTGAAGTCTTTCATATTTAACAGTTTTACACATACAATCTCTAATTTTCATTGACAGCAATGTTTATGCAGACAGATCAGGAATCTAATTTGCTATGTGATTCCTGTACCCAATTTTATATTTTGCGTAAGGTAACGCTTGGACTAAAACCTTTGCATAAGAATGTGAAAACTGTGTGTATTTAATGGCCAGGTTCAGATCCTATTGAAAATGTGATGAATGGCAATTAAAATCAACCTATTTTACATTTTGCAATAAATATGTTTTTATTCTAGAAATTTATACTTAATGTTATCAAACAACAGTGTATGTTTCATTAACAAAGGGTATAAATAGAAATAAGAAGAAATATTACTGTTTTCTTGTATTTTTTCCTGCTACAGCATGTTCTGTTAATTTGAAATTATTATTATTATTATTATTTTTTACCTGCAGCTCTGGAATGATTGTTCCTCTCTCTGGACAGGATCCTCCAAATGTTGTCAGTGGTGAAGGAAGCACAATTGGATTCGGGTTGATAAAGCTAGTGATGTCACAAGATGGTGGGTCAGCCTCTGTTCTTTGCATGACAACTTTTTCTACTACAATAAACCTATTCCAAGGTAACCAAAGTGTCCTTTTCTCAGAAATGAAAGGAGATCTGTCAAAGAGGAGGGTGACAGAGATGCCTCCGATAGCCATGAGGTCAAAACTGAAGAGACAAACAAAGCACACTGTCTTAGACTGTTTCCTTTATAATATAAACACAGTTTGCAACAAATGACTACCAAAATTCCACATGAATCTTTCTATTTCCAACTGTGAGCGTATGTGGTGTTCTCTCCCTATGCTGTCTCCAAACATTCTTCACAAATAAGGTGGGATACTTCACTACAATTTATCCACTCTCCCTCTGGTGTTTACCGTCTAAAACAACTGCTCCTAGTTTGCCTGTGAAGAAACTCCGAAACCACAAAATGTCTGCTAGACAGATTATGTGCATGCCTAACATGTGGAGTAACTGACTTGGAACCTCATAATCACCTCATTCTCCAACATGCTCATTTTTCCTGTTCTGTGCGTTGTAAAAGGAAGAAACTTCCCATTAATTTCAGAATGAATTGAATCAGCTCCCAGTGTGGTGCAGTGACGACTACTATAGGATACAGTCAAGGAGCAACTACGAATAATCCTGTGTAGATTTGTGAGACAGAAAACAAGGTAAATACTGTCTCAGTTTTCTAAGATTCTGATATTTACAGCTAGGTAATGTAAGGAGATGCAAATAGATATTTCCCTCACTGTATTATTGAATGCATACACTATGGAGGCCTTTGATGGTAACAAAGTGTGATAAGTTGTCAGACTTAATTATGCACATTTCATCACATATCCCAAATGACATAGATTACTCTCAGAGTAAATTATAAGTAAAATAATTTAATGTAACAACTCTGTCAGGGGTAGTGTAAATAAGAAATGATAATTAGTAACTTACAGCACTGTAATTTTAAAATCAAGAAAATAATGTCAGATGGGGTGAAGAGAGTACAATTGGATTTGGGCAAATAAAATTACTCTTTACAACAAAGGGCAGGAATAAAAGGCCAGGTTTCAAAATGGAGAGAGGTAACTAGTGGTGTTTCCCAAGGGTCCATACTGGGACCAATGCTTGTTAACCTATTTATAAATGATCTGGAAAAAGGGGTGATCAGTGAGGTGGCAAAATTTGCAGATTATGCTAAACTGCTCAGGATAGTTGAGAACAAAACAGACTGTGAGGAGCTTCAAAAGGATCTCACAAAACTAGGTGACTGGGCAACAAAATGGCAAATGAATTTTAATGCTAATAAATGCAAAGTAATGCACATTGGAAATAATAACCCCAACTATACATACAAAATAATGGGGACAACTTTAGCTATAACCACTCAGGAAAGAGATCTTGGAGTAATTGTGGATAGTTCTCTGAAAACATCCACTCAATGTGCAGCAGCAGTCAAAAAAGAAAACAATGTTAGGGATCATTAAAAAAGCAATAGAGAACAAGAGAGAATATCTTATTGCCTCTATATAAATGCATGGTACTCCAACATCTGGAATACTGTGTACAGATGTGGTTGCCTCATCTCAAAAAAGATATATTGGCAGTGGAAAAAGTTCAAAAAAGGGTAACAAAAATTATTAGGGGTTTGGAATGGATGCCATATAAAGAGAGATTTAAAACAGTCGGATTTTTCAGCTTAGAAAAGAGGAGATTAAGGGGAGATATGATAGAGGTCTATACAATCATGACACGCATGGAGAAAGTGAATAAAGAAGTTATTTACTTGTTCCCATAATGTATGAACTAGGGGTCACCAAATTAAATTAATAGTTAGCAGGTTTAAAACAAACAAAAGGAAGTTTTTCTTTACACAGTGCATAGTCAACCTGTGGAACTCCTTGCCAGAGGATGCTGTGAAGACCAGACCTTTAACAGGGTTCAAAAAAGAACTAGATGCATTCATGGAGGTTAGGTCTATCAATATTTACTAGCCAGAATGGGTAGGAATGGTGTCCATAGCCTCTGTTTGTCAGGGGCTGAAATGAGTAACAGGAGCGGGACACTTGATGATTACCTGTTTTTGTTAATTCCCTCTGGGGCATTTGCCATTGGACACTGCTGGAAGACAGGATACTGGGCTAGGATACCTTTGGTCTGACCTAGTATGGCTGTTTTTATGTACTATGTCAATAAGCTATGCTACATAAAAATCTTGGAAACCTTAAGGGTTACTTCATTTCCCTTTTTGGGAAAAAATTATAATGTAGTCAATGAACATAAAGTCTTCAAACAGCCAAATTAGCCACAAATTCTGGGTAAATCATGGCTCTACACTGGCAAGTTGAGTTCCTTAAAAGCAATGGAACTGACCTTGGGCCAGGTTACAGGAACCCATCTCTACTGTGAAACTGCATTTGCAGGAGTACTCTGTGCACTACGTAAAAGATGTGGCAGACAAGAAGAATCTGATGTGTCTAAGTGGGGCACAAGGATAAGTGGATACTATAGAAGCCATAAAGTAACTGCTTTGCTATTCTCTAGTTTTGGAAAAGATCCCCATTTTAAATTTCTGTTGCTCTGCTACCAGTCAGGTAGCTCAAAGAATGATCTTTACAGGCTCCAGAACAAGCCTTTTTTTAACCTCTTCAATGGAAGATGGAGGTGAAAGATGGGAAACAAAGAGGAGCCTGTAGAAATTTCAACTGTGCCAAATTCCTCAGAGATTTTGATAATTATCTTGGTAATTTTCAAAACATAGAAGTATTGAAATCTAACAACAGTATCATCATATGCTGATCCTATTTGTTCTGGATCTGATCAGGGAAAAGGGGTGAGCAGTTAGGTGGCAAAATTTGTAGACAATTCATAATTACTCAATAGTTAAATCTGACGATGACTGCAAAAAGTTACAAAAAAAACCTCACTAAATTCGATGGGTGGATGACAAAAAGGCAATTGAAATTCAGTGTAGTTGATTGCAAAATAATGTATACTGGAAAAATAATCTCAACTACACATACAAAATAATGGGGGACAAATTACCAGTTACTGCTCAAGAAAAATACTTGTAGTTATTGGGGACAATTAGCTGGAAACCTCTGCCCAGTGTGCAGCAACAGACAAAAAACTAATATTAGGAACCACTAGTAAAGGGACAGATAATAAGATAGAAATATCATAATGCCAGTATCTAAATCCATGGTCTACCCACACTATGAATACTGCATGCAGTACCCATCTCAGAAATGGTGCAGAGAAGGGGAACAAAAATGATTGGAGTATGGACTAATTTCCATATGAAATTAAAAAGACTGGGGCTATTCATTTTAGAAAAGAGATGATTAAAGAGGGATATGACAGAGCTCTATAAAATTATGAACAGTATAGAGAGTAGAAATGTGTTATTTAACTCTTCATAGAACACAATAACTAGGGATCATCTGATTAATTGGCAACATGTTTAAAACAAGCATAAGCAAGTACTTTTTCATGCAATGCAATCAATCTGCAGAACTCATTGCCTTTAGATTCAGTGAAGGCCAAAAGTAGAACTGGGTTCAAACAATAATTAGGTAAGTTCATGGAAAATAGGTCCATCAATGGCTATTAGCTAAGACGGTCAGGTAAGGTGAAAATAAGCAGGTGTGCCCTGGTGTGCATCTCCAGCAAGAGCTAGCTGAGCTGCAGAAAAAAACAGCAGGGAGCTATTTAAAGAGCTGACAAGGAGCTGTTTAAAGAGCTGGCAGGGACCTGAGCTGCAATGGGACAGTACCTGCCAGAAGCTGGGACTGGATAAATGGGGGAGACCACTCAAATTGCTCTGTTCTGTTCACTCCCTCTGAAGCATCTGGCACTGGCCATTATGGGTGCATCTATTCTGCAGGGCTTAACTCGAAATAAGCTCCACAAATCGAGCTACATCAATTGCATATCTTATTTCGAAATAGCTTATTTCAAAATATGGAGAATCTACATAACACTTAATCTGAAATAGAGCACTCTTCCTCTGACTTCTCTTATTCCTCGTACAAGGAGGGTTACAGGAGTCAGAATAAGAAGTCCTCCAGCTTGACTATATTTTGACACTATTTCAAAATAACTGCCGGCTGTGGAGATACAGACTAAGTTATTTTGGAATAGCGCTAGTTATTGCAAAATAGGGTACGTCTACACTGCAATACCATCAGAGACAGGATACATGGCTAGTCAAACCATTAGTCTGACTCATACAGCCATTCTTATTTTCTTTTGTGTCTGGATGTCTCCACATGTTCTTGTTATTATTTAAGGCACGGAGGTTTTCATGCATTTTATGCTTCCTTTTCTCCAATTGGACACCCTACCAGAGAGAACTCTAATCAGATGTGCTGCCTGAACAGAGGAGCAGATGCTGCTTTCAATATACTATGGCTATGTCTACACTGTCCCCGTTCTGCACAAAAAATATGCAAATGAGGCAAAGTATGGCTATCATTGCACCTCATTTGCATAATTAATGAGGCTCCGTTTTTGTGCAAGAGGGGTTTTTCGTGCAAAAGGGAACCATGTAGATGGCTCCTTTTTTAACAAAACCGGAGCCTCATTAATTATGCAAATGAGGCACAGCAATATTCCACGCTTCGCCTCATTTGCATTTTTTTTTGTACAAAATGGGGGCAGTATAGACATAGCCAAAATGAAAAATTCTATCAATGGTAGAGGCGGATTTACAATGAAACATGGTGCTCTGGCACGGGCGCTCCCCCTAATGACATGGACCCCCAGAGCCAGGCAGTCTAGCACTAGGTCTGGCACTTCCTCCAGCGCAGAGTGCAGCCTATGTAAAGGGGAGAACAGAAGAGCAGGGAGGCCCACATGTGGGCTGCAGCCTCAGGAGAGCCAACAGGAGGCAGCGAACAGCACGAGCACAGGCCAGAAGGCTTCAGAGGGTCACGGGGAAACTGCACAGCTGGCCAGAGAAAAGTGGCGCTTTGAAGCCAGAAAGCACCACTTCTTGCCAGCTGCCAGCTGTGCGGCTACCTAGTACTCCTCTGAAGCCTTCCAGCCCATGTTCATGCTGCTGACCACCATCTGGTGAGTAGCGGTTGCCCACCGGTGAGGGAAAAAGTGACCAGGGGATGGAGAGCCCAGGGCGTGCAGGTGACTAATGGAACTGTGCCCCCCTCACCTCATGTAGGTCTCGGCCCATATCTCAGGGCCAGCCAGCGCAGGTCCACAGCCTGAAGCTATCCTCCACAGCCATGGAGATTGTTTTTTTTTAAATAAAGCATCCACAGCACTTTACAATAGTTAGCTAATGGTACAAACAATATTTGGAAAGATAATTAAGTGGTCCACTGAGACCCTCAGAAATTTTCAAGTGGTCTGTGAAAAAAAATAGATTACAAAAACAATCAAGGCACTTCACTTTTTTTCATTTACTTTTTATTACTTATAATTTAGGAGGAGGATGAATTTTGAGCATGGATGTAAGGTGGCATGTGGTCCTTAGACTAAATCTCAAAAGTAATGAGAGGCCAGGGATGAAAATGTCCCACCTTCCATCCTGTCGACTGATGGTGTATCCATAATCACTGTGGTGTAGGAAACTGACATTCACTCCTACCAACGCTGTTCCATCAAATGCTACCACCTGGCCTCGAATAACACAGGCACGTCTGCAATAAGAAAAGTATAATTTAACATGAAATAAAGAAGCTGTGGAGGACATGAAAAAGTGTTGATTTCATACAGTGTGCAACACTGCAGGTTAAATACTGAACAGCTAAGAAGTTCTGACTATGAATTTATAATAGGGATGCAGATAGACCCAAAGCGTGACTATTCAGCTATTTGAAACGTCAGTGCTGAATATAACAAACTTACATACTCCCCCGTGAGTTCCTAGTACATCATTAGAACATATAACTTTTCAGTATCAACTTGCCCAGCCATTGCATGGGGTTACACAGGATTAGCTGATAGCATGCAGCTATTATTACTAAGATGCCTGCAGTTTCTTCAATACTAGTGATACTAGTAAAAAGAAAGAATGCAATTTGATTTTCAGATTCTAGCACAGAGCAGGCAATTCAGGGAAAAATCCCTTTATCTGTAAACGAGATTAATATGAAGACACAGCTGACTGAACCTCAGAAAGCCACATTCACAGAATCACTTTTTGGTGTAGTTTTGAGGGTCAGAGGTGAGCACAACACACACTTTTAAACCCTACACTTAGGCTGTGTCTACACTGGCATCCCTTCCGGAAAAGGGATGCTAATGTAGCACATCGGAATAGCAAAATCCGCGGGGGATTTAAATATCCCCCGCGGTATTTGCATTAACATGGCTGCCGCTTTTTTCCGGCTTGGAGATAAGCCGGAGAAAAGCGCCAGTCTAGACGTGATTCTCCGGAAAATAAGCCCTTTTCTGGAGGATCTCTTATTCCTACTTTGAAGTATTTAAATCCCCCGCGGATTTTGCTATTCCGATGTGCTACATTAGCATCCCTTTTCCGGAAGGGATGCCAGTGTAGACATCGCCTTATAGTTTAGATTCCCTATACAGTAGAGTAGAGCTGGGCAAATGGTGCATTTTTTGTTGACAGAAATAAAAAGATTTTGGGTCAAATTGAAAGCAGTTTTTTAAAATTATTTTGGCAAATCAAAAGTTTTTGAGTTGGATTGAAGCTACATGTTGCATTTTGATTTGACATTTTTTTTTATTTTAGGCATTCTGAGAAAAACAAAATAATTAGTGTACTCTCTGAGGATGCTGCAGTCCCTGGTTCAATTCCCCTTTCTGCTTCATGTGAGAAAGAGGCATGAATATGAGTATACCATACTGTAGTAGGTCACTGGGTTGACCACACCCTCACGACATAAAGCTGTTACTTGAGAGAGTGTGGCTTTTCCAAATTAACCCTTTCATGGGTGTTACACCCATAGTAGCACACCTTGGTATCTAACATGGTTTTCAATCTGTCAGGGTGCAGAGTGATTTAAAAGTTATCAACATCCCTGGTTAGAGAGAGACGTGCTACCATTAACTTATTTTTCTTTCAATATACATATCAGAATTTTAATTCACTCTTGTTTTGTCATATATTAATCTAGTTCGGATTCCAAACACACACTGGCAAATATCATGAGTAGTGCCAATAAAGCAAATTGTGATACAGAAGATCACAATCAGGCCTTTTGTATATTTAACTAAACTATGCCAATCTCAATTATTTGTGTTTTGATAGAACAGCAACCACTAGTTTCTGTTGTTTTCTCATATTTTATGACATCTGGGCTGAGTCTAGACTGGCCACTTTTTCCGGAAAAGCAGGCGCTTTTCCGGAAAAACTTGCCAACTGTCTACACTGTCCGCTTGAAATTCCGCAAAAGCACTGACGATCTCATGTAAGATTGTCAGTGCTTTTGCGGAAATACTATGCTGCTCCCGCTCGGGCAAAAATCTTTTTCCGAAAAACTTTTGCGCAAAAGGGCCAGTGTAGATTCCTATTGTAAGAAATCAGTGCTTTTTGCAGAAATACTGTGCTGCTCCCATTCGGGCAAAAGTCCCCTTTGCGCAAAACTTTTGCGCAAAAGGGCCAGTGTAGACAGCAGAGATTTGTTTTCCTCAAAAAAGCCCCGATTGCGAAAATGTCGATCGGGGCTTTTTTGTGAAAAAGCGCGTCTAGATTGGCCACGGACGCTTTTCCACAAAAAGTGCTTTTGCGGAAAAGCATCCTGCCAATCTAGATGCGCTTTTCCGAAAATGCTTTTAACGGAAAACTTTTCTGTTAAAAGCATTTCCGGAAAATCATGCCAGTGTAGACGTAGCCCTGTAGACTTGACTTTTCTCTTTCCAATCCTTTTATTTATGAAGCATGCCGACTTGTCGTCATTGTTCTGTACATTATTCTAGTATTCCTTTGTTTGTTTATTCTGTTTTTCATTCCTCACAGACCTGTCTTTGACTCTACTCCGAATATTTTATGGAGCACACAGATTTGTGTGATAACTCATCAAACTCTTCATTATTCCATACATTCTTTCCTTTTTCCTTTGCTCATTCATTTTGCTCCTCATTATTCATAAATAATGTTCATACTTTTCTTTCAACTTTTTTATTCCTCATATTTTATAACCTACACACATTTACAGTATGTGATAAAGACTCCTACAACTCATTATTCTACATTTATCTGTATTGAGCTGTCTTTGTAATCTATTAGTCTTTAAATGTTCTAAGCTTTTCTGTATATTGCTACATTTGTCCTCATTATTTACTGTCTTCCTTGCATTCACTGCTAACTAGAACAGTCTCCAGCCATCTCTTAGATTACCAAGACTTACAGTAAATCTTCAACCAACAACAACTGTCCAAAATAAATGTTAATTTCTGCATGTAGCTCATATATGAACACATTTTCATTTAACTACTTTTGACTGTCACTTCAGAGCTCTGGAGAAAAACTACTTAGCGGGCCAATTGTCTCCCTTTCAAAATGCCTGGTCATCTCACAAAGCTTGCAGGGCATACTTGTTCTTAGATCCCTAGTGGTCTTGCTACTTGCATTGGGCCTCACTTATCTTCTACTATAGTAGAGCTTTCTGAAGTGATGTCACTTTCCATTCATCTGATTCATTCTCCTGCTAGACTGAAATCCTGTTATTTCTGACAACTTTCCCCATTAGTAGTCTTCTGACCCTCTCTCCACCATGCTCTCTGTGTCTGCTGCAGGTTCTTCTAGACTCACTGTTTAACTTTACTGTTGTCACATCTCTGCTACATTTTTTTTTGTAAAATTCCGTATGTTACATAATAGCCAATTGTGTAAGGCATTTCTTTCTAATACCTACTGTTTCTTTGCAATTATGATATTATCTTGATCTAAGTCTTTTAAACTAGTTTGTCAAACTTACTTTAATTATAAGGTAAATGCAGCTAGGGTATGTCTACACTACCACCCTAGTTCGAACTAGGGTGGTTAATGTAGGCAACCGGAGTTGCAAATGAAGCCCGGGAAATTCAAATCCCAGGCTTCATTTGCAACTCTGGTTGCCTACATTACCACCCTAGTTCGAACTAGGGTGGTTAATGTAGGCAACCGGAGTTGCAAATGAAGCCCGGGAAATTCAAATCCCAGGCTTCATTTGCAACTCTGGTTGCCTACATTACCACCCTAGTTCGAACTAGGGCGGTAGTGTAGACATACCCCAACTTCTTAGCGATTTGAGAAGAGCTGGAGAATCTGTCTACTGTTTTGCATCATGCACAGAGGGAGAAAAATGTCTCTGATAAACTGCAGCCTTTGTCTTTTTCAAATAGATTTAAAATGTTTCTAGGCCTCTGGCAGACTGTGCTCAATCTCCAATTCCAGAGGGACTATCTGCTTTCTTTGGAGAGGAGGCACAGATTCCATGGGTTACAGGTAGCCTTTGAAAAGTACAATTTTTTTGTAAATGCTTCATGGGTCAGTCCACTTTTAACTGATGATCTCATTTGGCTATCAGGCAGTTTATTTGACATCTCTAGTTTAAAATCTCTAGGTCATTCTGTATTTACTATTCTAGCTGCATTCTTTGACAATTTTCACTAACAATTCTATCATTCAACCATTTCGCCTAACTACATGCTGCCTTATTTGTTATTCTATCTTTTGTTTTTTGTATTAAACTTCCAATATGCACTGAGCACCTTAGGCTGTGACTTTAATGTCAGATGTAGAATTCTGTCAGGAAAACCTGAGTGAATTCACAATTGTTACATTACCAAATATGTAATTTTTATATTATTTCTCTGATTAAAATCTTCAATCAGAAATTAAGCTAGGGGCTACTCAGGTACATTAATTTCCTCCTGCTGATAATATCATTGTGAGGAGTCTTTGTAAGGTAATTAATTGGACCTTCTTTGTAGGCAATCTGCAATGAGTCAAGTAGCTTTCCAGCAGTAAGCATTTTTTAAAGTCCTGTGGGTCAAGGTTGATAAAATATTGTTACATGCTACACTCTTTATATAAGCAGATGCATTCACCGGAAATTAATTTGACTCATCTTTCCATATGTAGCAGCTACATATTAACATTTTAAGGCAACCATTACAAAATTCAAAGTTTTGGTGTAACGTACGACAAGATACCCTACAGGATCCTACGCTATACACAAGCCTCAGATTCTGAATGGATTTCTGATTTAGAGCATGTTCAGACTGAATGGGGTTGATGTGCTCTACGGGGGTCGGAGGAGGAGATTTCTAAAGCGTGCTAATCTGTTATGCATTGACTGGTGCACATAGATCCTGGCATCACACTTTAACATATTTCCCTACTACATTTAAGTACAGTAGGGAACCTTTAATGCACACCAGCAGAGTCTGCATGGAATAATTAATGCACAGCACATCAATGCACTTTAAAAAACCCCCACACCTTATAGAACCTCACCATGTAAACAAGTCCGAAACCCCAGGTTGAGCGCACCGCTGCAGCCTAATCTTAAAACAATAAAGGCTTGAAACAGTAGTGTGATCCACATCCAAAAGAACAGATTCTATCTCCTAACTGGATGCAAATGGAAAAGAAAAGATATCTGGACACTTACTGAAACATAATATAAGAATACTAGGTACTTAACAAAACTCCAAAATTGCCTACATGAAAAACAAAGAGCAGGTAAACAACTTCAGTCTGAGGAGCAGATAAAATCTTGACAATGATTTTCTTGTTCTTTTCTCCAGCCTACCATTATCACTTCTGTTTTATCTAGATTGAGACTCAGTCAGCTCTCATCCATACTGGATCCAAACCAGAGGGAGGGCAGGGCATCAAATTGCACTGAGTTGGAAGAGATGAAAACACTGTGCTTTAAACTAGGATTCTGCATTGCCTTCTTACTGACTTCATATACTTGTTGAATGGGGATAGTGGCTAGAGAGAACTCTGCAGAATCCTACATGAGAACATTACTGCCCAACACTATTCTCTAAAATTTAGTAATGTCTTCACAAGAGTAAGGAACTTATATTAGGCTCTGAGCTGTGCCAGTCATGTCCAAGTTACCCACTGTCCACAACACATCTATTCGGTGAGATTTTGCAGTGGAAGTTCTTCATAACAAAAGAATTAAAAAAAAATCTTCATGTCAAACTGTTCACTTTCTCAGCACTTCTACCATTAGTGCTCTAGCTAGTTTCCCTTTTGCTTCGACTACGGAAAATCATTGTAAGCCATGGTGACTTTTGAGGATGAATGTAGGGTAAAAGATACCAGGGGCCACTATATTGATAGTAGAGGACAAAAGATTTATAAAAGTCAACCAAACAGGACAGTGGTCTGTTAGAGGAACAATTCTGTCTTTGAGACCTCTGCAACCTTTCTAATTTTATCAGCTTCCGAGGACAGACCAACTAAACAGGTCAAATAACTTTATTCTCCATAATCCAAAGGGACTTTAGGTAATAAAGCAAAAACTGAAATATTCAAAAATGCTTTTAAGAATAAGTCAAATCCTATCAAAGATAGCTTCAAAAGATCAGTTATTTTCATCTAAAAAAACACATATTGAAAGGATTATGTGCAGTCTGTATTGGCTACCTTACTGCTCATCTTCCAGGTGGCATTAAATGGATAGATGTCTGGTGTATGTTACTGAGGGAAGTTATGAACTCTGCTGATAAAAGAGTAACATGTAAGAGCTAGTTATTATTTTGTATTATTTTTTAAACAGCAATATGCTATATTAAATACACATGCAGCCAAAAATGTTGTATTTGGTGCCTCTTATGCACTCGGGTAAAATAAACTAATTGCACTGTTCCATTAGGGTATGTCTACACAGCAAGTTATTTCAGAATAATGAGTGTTATTCCAAAATAACTGTGCGAGCATCTACAAAGCCATTTTATTTCAAAATAATTTGAAAATAACAGGCGGCTTATCTGTAAACCTCATTCTATGAAGAATAAAGCCTATTGTGAAATAGCTATTTTGAAATAAGGCATGTGCAGACATTCCACTTCTGCTATTTTGAAATAGCCCCTCACCAGGGCCATTCTAAGTTATTCCTCGAGATAGCACGTCTACATTAGGGAAGCCTGCCTTTGACTAATTTTGAGGCTTCCCTGCAGTGTAGACGTACTATTTTGAAATAAGTTATTTCAGAATAACTATTCCAGAATAGCTTATTTTGAAATAAGCGTGCAGTGTAGAAGTACCCTTACTTTATGTCTACACTGGTGAGTTCTTGTGCAAGAATGGCCGTTCTTCCACAGAGCGTCCACACTGCCCGCCCGCTCTTGCGCAAGAAGATTTACAGTAAAGCGGGTAAGAGAAGGCTTCTTGCGCAAGAGTTATGCTCTTGTCTAACAAGTGTAAGCTCTCTTGTGCAAGAGCTCTTGTGCAAGAGGACAATGTGGACGTGCAGCAGGGGTTTCTTGCGCAGAAAAGCCCTATGGATAAAAAGGCCATCAGAGATTTCCTGCACAAGAGAGCTTCCACACTGCCATGGATGCTCTTGCGCAAAAGCACGTGGCAATGTGCACGTGTTCTTGCGCAAGATGTTCTTGCGCAAGAACCCACCAGTATAGACATAGCCTTACTGATTTAGACTTCAAGGCTTAGTGCTAACGGTTACTGGTTTTGTTCAGTTCCATGAACTTTTAAACACATATTTATATCATCCTGTTATGGTCTTAACAGAGATTAAATATTTAGGAATGTTAAAGATTGTTTACATATTTTCATTGGTAAAATGACATTACATTTATGCAAATAAACAATACTAGTGTGTTTACTAATACAACTTAGTTTATCTAATGTGCAGGCCTAAGAGTAGTTGTTAGATGGCAGAGATGATTGGTGAATGCTTATGTCAGTATAAAAATTACTGCTTTCCAGGATGAATTGCAGTATTTAAAAAACCTTTTTTGCCTCTATATTTCAAATTTACTTTTTTCCAGGGGAGAGTATGGGTAATTGGTTTTTTGAGCAAGTGTTTACTCTTCCTTTTTCACACATTCCTCTCGCTTTAAAAAACAGCATAACCCTACAAGTCCACAGAAATGATCTGATTTCTGAGATCACACTACCAGATACACGTCAATTAAAGGGCAACCTGTAGAGCAAAATGGCAAACTGCACGTTATATTACTATTTGCTCAATATTGCTGCTAATCAGACTAAGGGGCATTCGGCACGTAAGTAAAGAAAACATGTTTACTATGTTATGCCACAGCTCCACTGTGGCATGAAGTTCACTCAAGGGACCTCATATGATTCCAACACTGCCCTCCGGTATATCTCCAATATTCTGTCACAAATTGCATTCTAAACTGTTTCTCATGGAAACACACACAGACAAGTTTAACTCTCATGATGGTCTGAGCCCTGACGGAAAGAGGGCAAAGGAGGCAGCTGTCCTGGGGCCCAGCCATTTAACAGGGCCTAGAGCTCCCAGCTGGAGCCCTGGGATCTTTAAAGTGCCACTCACGCTCTGTGCAGCATGCTCTGGGCTTCCACGATGGGCTGGCAGGAGGAGGTTAGCCTCAGCCCTCACCCGTTCCATCCAAGTTCCCGCTCCTTTTTCAGATACAAAACCAAGTCCCCTCCCACCTTGTCCTGAGGCCTGGCAAGTCTCTCAGCAGCCCTGATTATAGTTACACCCATACAAAAAAAAGGTACTACAGCAGTTTTATAATCCAGATGGAGTAACTCTAGGAGTCTGCACTAATAATATAGGAGGGCACATCTTAAATTGCTGGAATTTCAAACAAAATATTTGTTATTTCCATTATTTTCAGAAATTACCATTAATGTGGAAAAGTCAGTAATGATTTCTAAGAAAACCTTGAAACCAATTTTTTTCTATTAAAATAATTTATCAATAGTTTTCACTGTCCAGATCACATCAATTAAAAATGAAACTTACCTGCTGTCAAATAAGACATCTCCCGGGATTACATGAGTGCTCTCCTTGCCAATAAGGAACTTGATTCTATCATAAAAGAGCCTTGGAGGATGCTGAGAGAAAGGAGGCTGGGTGTGCTGAATGAGGTCAAGGGGATCAGGTGAACCTTGGCAGAGAGGGCTTATGTAGCAATTGCTTTGCTGACAACAATCAGGGTCTACACAGTCTGTCAAACCATCTGAAAATGGATAAAACAAAAAGTTCAGGAAATAGAATGTATAGAAGAAACCAAATGATTTTCTTCTAGAAAGCATGGGAGAACAATATCTAGTCAATGGGAAGAAATGCTGATTTTAAGACTCTAGGGCCCAGATGCAGCAAAACTCTCAAACACTTGCTGAAGTAGGGATAGACATTTCTCTCCAGTTATTAATACTGAATGTGATCTCACAGAATCTCCATGTGTCACTGAGAAAACAGAACCTATAAACTAAATGATAAGAAAGAATGTGACTTATCACAATGCAGACAGAAGGAAAACACCAACCGCTATTAGCAGATCCAGTGGTTATATGGACCACAGATATATGGTTTATGTTTCTAGTATCCCAATATTGTTATAATGAACAGTTTATTAATACCTGTGAAGAATGTGTGCTTTCTGAAGTACATGAAATGACCTGTACAATCTGAAGCATTACCCAGTTTTAATACACATCTTTATTATAGCAGTAAAAAGGGCTTTGGTAAAAGTTCTTCAGCTTTTAAACACTATACAATTTTATAAGTGCTAATATCTTCAGATGTTTTATTATTCTTATACTTAATAGTTACAATAAAGTGAATTCATGAGGATTTGATCATGACTGTGGCTCCTATTATGCTATGCATTCTACCAATACAAAGCTAGATGCAGCCCCTGCCCTAAAATGCTTAAAATCTAAGTCTTCTTTACTTGATGTTTGTTTGCAACTCCCATCATATTCAAGTGACACAAACTTGTGAACTGAATGCATGCTATTTCAACATTTGAAACTTACAAAGTTCCAAAGACTTGTTGGGATAATACACACGATTGGAATATTGGTAAAGAAGGGTACAGCTTACTCAGGAAGGATAGGCATGGGAAAAAGGGAAAGGTGTTCCTGTATATATTAAAAACGTACACATGTGCACGGAGGTGGAGATGGTTCTAGTGTTCTATGACTCTATGATTCTGTGAAATAGGTGAAGTTCAATGGGGCTAGGTTTCTTTAAAAAAGACTATTTTTCTATGACACTTTTGTATCTATTATTTCTAGGCACAGAGAACATCACTTAAATAGCTAAATATTTCATTACTCCACCAAACAGCTACCTAAATTGCACACACATTACTGTAATAAAAAAAGGTTGAAAATAAAGCTGGATATAGATATAGATATATATAGTGTGACAGAGTAACCCCACTGCTGAGTCCCAGTACCTTACTCTGGCATTCTCAGTACTGTGCAATTAGTCCTTGACAGGGTTTGAGCTCTTGTCCCTCAGCTACAAAGGGCACTGGGGCCGGTGCGCCTGGGTCATCCAGGGCTGCAAAAACAGTCCTCTCCAGCTCACAGCTGGATTCTCAGGCTGCCAGGAAAAGGGGGACCTGAAACCCCTGTTTAGAGCTCCTCACTCACTCTCCTTTTCTGTTTCTGGCAATATTGCTGTTACCTTTCTTATGCTACGTCCACACTACAAGTCTCTTCTGCAAGAGGAAATACAAATGGAGCGCTCATTTGCATATGTCGCTGCCATTTGCATTTCCTCCTCGGATCCCTTTTGCGCAAGAGGTTTTTGAGAAAAAAAGTGCTGTGTAGACAGCTCCTTTTTGCAGACACCTCAGTTCTCTAGTCATGGATCCAGAGCTGCCTCCCAGCAGTCAAAAGCTCTTAAAGGTTGTGCTGCACCTCCTTCAGCTCTTTCTGAGGGATGCCTTCCAGGTCCTGCTGGAACACAACCCCTAAATCATTGCAGGGAACTTCCTCATCACTATGCAGTACAACCCCACTTACCCTCCCCTGCACATCATGCACCGACACTTCTAGCGTCTGGACACCATTTCCGACTGGTGGGACTGTATGCTTATGGAGCAGTGGGGTGACCAGTAGTGGCTCCAGAATTTCCTCGTGTGGAAGGACACCTTTCTGGAGTTGTGCGAATGGCTCACTCTACTCTGGCGAAGGGACACCCACATGAGACCCGCCATCCTCCTCCAGAAGTGGGCCCCATTGCCATCTGGAAGCTCACCATGATGGACAGCTATCAATACATCAGGAACCAGTTTGGCATGGGGAGATCAACCATCAGGGCTGTGCTCTTGCAGGTATGGAACTCTCGGGCTATTGTCCCAGGAACAGGGTGAATGGAACTTCTGGAATGGGGCTCCCTAGGGAAGGGGTGATGATGGTGGAAAGCCCCCTTCCAGGGTGATTTTTCAGTCCCTCCTTCACAAAGCCCTGACAAGGGATCGGGTCAGTAGGCGGGTGCTCCTGGTGTGTGAAGGGGAAGAGAGGACATCTTGTGGACCTCCCAATGGCCCTGATAACCCTATGATTGATTGTTTGTCTCCTTCCACAGGTGGTGAGGGCCATCAACATTGTCCTGCTGCGCAGAATCATCAACCTGGGCAACATGGACCTATCATTGCCAGATCCACTGCCATGGGCTTCCCCAACTGTGGTGGTGGGGGGGGGGAAGATATTGATGAAACCCACATCCCCATCCAGGCCCCCAACCACTGGGCAGCCAAATACATCAGCCACAAGGGGTTCTTCTCGATGGTCCTGTAAGCCATCATGGCAGTTCACTGACTGTGCGTGGTTGGGGAAGATGCACAATGCATGTCTTCTGCAACTTCAGCCTCTACCAGAAGCTGTATGCCGGCACATTTTTCCCTGACTGCACCATCAGGGTTGGGAACATGGAAATGCCAGTCTGAATTGTAGGGGACACAGCCTACCCTCTGCTCCCCCGGCTAATGAAGGCCTACACAGGATACCCAGCCCAAAGCAAGGGATGCTTCAATGCCCATTTCAGCAGGGCCTGTGTGGCTCTTGAGGGCATCTTCGGGTGGTTCCATTGCATCCTCAGCCACCTGGATGTCGAGGAGCGGAACATCACCCAAGTGGTGGCAGTGTGTTGTGTTGTAACAAGTTCAGTCCTGAGTGCGAGCGCCCCTTGGTGGCTGAAGGGGGTCTCACAATATTTAACTCACAATATTTGACTCGTCTCCGGGCGAGTCAAAGTCCAGTCCATGGCTGAGGTTCATGCCTCCTCTTTTACCCCCCTCACTCGGATGTGGTTTGCAGGGGACTGGGGGGAGGGACCCAGGCCTGCCCACTCCTATGGGTCCCAGTCCAGGGACCCTATATGTAGCAGATACCTGCCGAGTTTCAAAGTCTGTAGGTATAGTTGCATCCTTGGGCCACTTCCCAGGGATGCCGCTTCATCCAGTCCTTCTCTAGGGCCTTGCTGCAGAGTTCCCCTTGTCTGGGTTCTGTTTGTCCCTGGCTACCTTTTAGCCGCCAGGTCTAGCTCTGCTTAGCTACAAGAGCCCAGCTCCCACTTGGAGCTGTCCAAGGTTCTGGTTGTCCCAGTCGGTCCAGAGGTCTCCCTGGGTTGAGCTCCAGGAAGAAACTGATGGGCCTTAGCTAGTAGCTCCTTATGTAAGAGCCTGCCGCATTCTGATTGGCTGCAGTGCAGGCTGCCCCTCTACCCTGCTCAGAGGACCTTTCCACTGCTCCTGCTGCTGGCCAGGGTGCTGAAAGGCCTCTAGTGGAGAGGTCAGCTTTGTCCACCACATCACGTGTCCTTAACAATATTTGTGAAAGCAGAGGGGAGACGTTCCTCCCAGTATGGGGGACAGAGGCTGACTGGATTGACAGGGCCTTTGAGCAGCTGTGCATGGCTCCTATAAGGCAGGCCCATCAGGAGGCTGTGTGAATTGGAGAGGCCTTGAGGGAGAGTTTCTCACAAGTACCTCAATGACATTCCCATGGGCCTCCCCACAAGGGGCCTGTATATTCCATCTCTTTGCCTGTTCTCCCGCACCCCTCCTTTCTCTCCACCCACCCTTCCCTGCAGAGAAATAAAGTACAGTTTGTTTCAAAAAAATAAACTCTGTATACTTAATTGGGATAAATGAAACTGGGGAGGGATTGGGTAAATAACCCTGGAGGGGAAGGAGGAGGGAGTTGGAGCAAGGAGGAAAGGCTTGCTCTGGGGCTGAGAGTGATGCCTGGTTCTGGTGGATCTCCCTCGGTGGCTCCAGGGGAAGGCTGGGGGAGGGGCAGGAATTGGGACAGGAGTGGGCACCAACGTGTCAGTCACTGCCTGTAGAGCAGTGCAGATGATCCAGCTCTGCTCCCTCATCTCCCTTCAGATCTTGTGGTGCAGCTGCAGGATCTCCTCCATTCTGCAGTCCTGCTGTTCCATGCAGCACTGCAGGGCTCAGATGGCAGAGATATGCTCCCTCTGTAGGTTCTCCTGAGATCTCCAGCAGCTGCAGGTCATGTGGGGTCGGGAGGCAGCCGGGGAGGTGTCGACCGTGCCCCTCTCGCAGCTGGTCCAGCTGTGTAGAACAATGAGAAGGTCAGTCAGTTCTTGGCTCAGACAAAGATGATGTGCTTGAAGCAAAGCCATCTGTGGCCTAGACAGTGAGCCCTTTCTTTCAGGGGCACAGATGTCCAGGGGGGAGGCTCAGTACCCTCATGTCCCAGGGACAAGCAGGCATTGGAAGGTGCCAGCCAGACCAGAAGCCTGTGGGCAGGTGGGGGGCCAAGGGGAAGCTGGGCTTGCTTCTGTGCCATGCACACACTGGATCTAGCAGTGGTGGTGTCCCACAGGGAGAGGACTTGTATCACTGCCCACTGGAGGAGAAGGGGTCAAGCCATTGGAGGGAAGGTGTGTGTGAACGGCAAACACTTCTGCACCTCAGCGCATTGTCCCTGGGAGCAAGTGCTGCCCTCAGCATGCAGGCATGCCCGTGTGCAGTACTCCTGAGTGTGTGTGTGTGTGTGTCTCCAAGTCTCCAGCCTCCTATTAGTGAGTTGTGGTGGGAGGGTGTCCCACCCCAGGGTAAGGAGTATGGCAGCCCCCCTCCCCCGATCCAGTGAGCAATAGCACAAGGGTCCTCTGTAGCAGCTTCCTGGGGCTGTGTGCCCCAGACTGGCACTGTTCATCTAGGTGCACAGGCTGCTGCATGTTCCCCAG